CAGCTACCCATTATCCTCCCAGTGCGATCTGCCTTTCGGGCCGAGCCGGTCACCTCTGCACTCCAGTCGCCACGAGCGGCCCCGGCTATCGTGCGCGCTCTCCGCCTCAGCTTTGGGCACTCGCACCTAGGGTCTTGTACTGCAGACCGGATGCGCACTCCAATGCCGTCATCGGAAGGAGCGGGTACCGCAAGTCATCGACTCCCCAGATGGAGAACCAGAGGGGGAATAAGAGGTCGCTCGAGGTCGAAGATGTCGAGGATGATGATGTCAATGAAGAGCACGACGACGACGAGCGTGATCGTGAGGGCCTCAGACCTAAGCGCAGCAGGTGTAGCGCAGAACGCCCGTCCGTCTGCCACCCCTCCAGCCATGTGCACATGGAGGTAAACCGAGAGAACGATGGCCGAATCCACGCGACAAATCTTGCCAGTATCCCGCTAGCCGCGCCTGTTCCAGCTGTTCTTGCCCTTGCACCGGCCGCTTCGGTCGTCGGGCCGGTGCCTACGCCGGTCGCTCCGGCCGTGCAGCCAGTTCAACCCGCCCTCGTCCTCGTACCTCCCCCGTGTGCCGCACAAGCTCAACCTGTCTCTGCCCATCTCTCGCCAGTCGCCTAGGCAATTGTATATCGCCCTGAGCAGCCGTACCACGTCATGATGCTCGGAATTGTCGCAGGCCAGCCAGTGACGACGCAGAACCCCAAGACGAAGCTGAGCCCTGTTGTGCATGGTCACTTTGCCGCGCACCTCTGGCCGACCAGCCTTGAGCTGGATTCAAGCTGGCGGTCTGCAGATAAGATAATACAAGTTCCTCTTGCTGTGAGTATCGTCGTAAGAGGGATGCTGTAGCCGGGCGCTCTGTCGTGAGAAGAATGTATGAGGGGAGAAGGAAGGAACCAGAGAGATGCAGTTGGTTTGAGGACGAAGAAGCAAAGATTTTCAATTGTCCGCGGTAGCATCGTGGCGTCCCTGGTCAATCGGGGTCCTATGTCCACGTGATTGCCTGGGGTCTAGACCCCGAACCGCGACAGCCTCGTCTGGACGCTAAGTTATCCACCCGACTTCAGATCGGCAATTCTGATGCACAGGATATGCAGGCTCTCGAAAGCTGCGTGACGTGAGTATATGCTACACATCCTAGTACATATAACCAAGAATTGACTCGACGAAGCGACGGCACTGGAGTGACTTGACCTCAGGCTGCACCTGAGCGGACCCCCCTCTCTGTAAATTACAGTGAGGGCTGAGAGGTAGGATGGCCCTCCCGTCCGTTCAACAACCGTGCTCAGCGCTCATGCGCATCAGCCGCGCTCACCTCAAATTCAGAACAAAGGAACTTGCGTAAAATATTCCTAAACTTGGAGGCCGTATTGATGCAGACTGGGAACAAATGGCGCCCGCGGATGATATAAATTGCAGCGCCCGCCTTGTCCTCCTTCGTTCCAAATCACATCCTCCATCCCATTTCGCGTCATTTGTATTGCCTGCAAACGTCACCCTCACGTTCTGAAAGCCGTGTCGTATCACCCAGACCAACAAGCCCCATTTGTGACGCGTCTCCACAACGCCGACAATAAGGCCACATCGCTCGTCTGACCTACCACCTACGCCTTCGCCACTCACTCAACAATAAAACACAATTCCCCAAAAAGTATCTGTGTCGCGCTCACCACATCTAAGCGCCGCGTACAACCAATCGCTCCGCAACCAGACCACAATGCTCCCAAACAACATCCACGCCACATCGCCAGCTTCGCCAGCCACAACATCCACACTCACGGAATCACACGACCTGCACAGATCAACAGCGTGGCCCGATTTCTGGCTCGAAACAACAAACGCCCCCGCATCCGACGCTCCCCACGACCTCCGTGGCGTCGCGCAGCGGAACCGCGTCAGCATGAGCGACCTGCTCGCTGAGAAAGACCGACTGGATGCCGAGCTGTTCAGCGCCGCGAGTGACTGCGATGGATACGCTACCGAGTCCGACGTTGAGGAAGATGGCTAGTCCAGCGATGAAGAGAGTGGCTACAGCGGCGACGTTGACAGTGACGACGCGCAAGATCAACTTCTGCCCGTTCGCCGACGTGTGTTGCTGCCGCCCGAGCACCATCAATATCGCGTCGTGAGCCCCCCGCTGACACTCCTGCAAAACCGAGGTAAGCTCCGCTTATCTGATGTTCGATTTGGATAAATACTGACACCCTTACGTAGCTTCGGCTCGCTCAAGTCCTGGTCAACTGTCGCATGTCTCCAAATACAGCGGCCAAGCACCCAGAGACGACGATATTCGACGAAAGACTCGTACAGCGATATCCACCGCTGGCCAGTTCGCATTGAACAGACTAACAATGAATACAGCCGGACGAGGCGTCACCTTGTCTCGCAACAACCACCTCCAATACGACGCACCTTCGGGCCGCGCCAACCACGTCATAGCCCCACTTGCCACAAGCGGCTACCGGGACGCCATCAAGACGGAAAACCGGAGAGGAAAGAAGAGAGCACGGGAGGTCGAGGAAGTCAAGGAAGAGGTCGATGAAAAGCCCTGGAAGAAGCACGCTGCGAACAAGGAGAACGTTGCCGCCGGCCCCAGCAAGCGCGACAATGATGACCACGACCATGAGAGTCGCAGGCCTAAGCGCAGCGTAGTTCGCCCGACCTTCTGCCACCCGTCTCGCTATGTGGAGAACCGTGACCGAGTCCACGCGGCAGGCGCTGCCAATGTCCCGACAGCTGCGCCAGCCGCGGTCGTTGCTCCGCCTGCCCCTGTGCAAGCCGCGCCAGTCGCTGCGCCGATGCCCGTCGTCGTCGCGCCGGCTGCGCAGCCAGCTCAAGGTGCCTTCGTCGTCATACCGCCTCCACCCGCCGCACCAGCTCCGCCCGCGCCTACCTACCTCCCGCCAATCGCGCAGGTACTCGCTGGTCTCCCTAACCCGCCGTACAATATCGTGCTGTCTCTGATCGTCGCACACCACCCTCCGCTCGCCGCCATCTACCTCCCGCCAATCACCCAGGTACTCGCTGGTCTCCCTCACCCGCCGTACAACATCGTACTGCCTCCGATCGTCGCACACCAGCCGGCGACAACGCAGAACCCCAGGATGCAGCTGGACTTCATTATGATGTAGCGGCCCGTGGTCTCTTATCCAACATAGCGCAGAGAAATAGTTTTGAAATGATCTTGAAATGTGTTAAGTAGTTAGCCCTCGTCTATCAATTCTTTATTGCATACCTCGGGAAGACTACTAGCCTTGAACTAAGTGTAGGCTGGAGCTCGTAGCTGAGACAACACTGGCTTGTCATTGTCATCAGTATCGTCGTGGATGAATGCAGTGGCTCTCGTCGCAGCCATGCATATGAAGGGAGAGGGAGGGATCTGGAGAGATGCGGCCGGAAGCTTGAGAGCGGGAATGCGAAGTTTTCGGTAGCGTCGTGGCGTTTGCGATCGGGGTCCTGGCGCACGTGACATGAAGGCGCTCTAACTCGGCCCCCGAGAGACCGCTTGCTCTCACAGGCCTCCTATGCCCATCGGATTCTGCGAGTCAGTGCGTCCCCGGCTGTACACTCACTTGCTGTACAGAATCTATATAAACGGCACCTTTTATATTTACTTTATGTCGGACAAGGTCTGACTCCACCGAGGCAAGCGGTTAGTTGTTGACTCGCGTGTTCGTTTTCGGAATGATCTCCGCACATGGTCTCGACTTTCTTGGCTAACTGTGTCGGGCAAGCGTGAGTGGCTGACTCGCTGGCCTCTCGGAGATTTCTGGACTCGGTGGACAAGCGTCACCCAATGGCACAGGCCCAAGTCGTGCATAAGAACTGGTTAGGACGTCTGTCATGTCACCAGCGTTCTGCGGCACAATCATAACTACTCCCACCCCTTCGCCGCGTGACCCATGCGTGTGGTGCGAGGACGTGCGTGTGCTCCGTCTATGCTTCCGTGGCTGTGTCCTGACACTGTTCGTACCAATCAGATGAGTTTCGGACCGAGCGGATGCTCTATTGCAGGGTCGGGGCGCTCCAGGTACGTGTGCTCCTCTATAGACTGCGTTAAGGAGCTGCACGCTCGTACGCTACCACGCCAGCCCGACGCACGGCAGCCATTCGGATTCGGCATCTGTGCCTGCGTCGTACGCACTACCTGCGATATCCCTCCATGTGCTTCGCTGACATGCCGTGCAGGGCCGGTTGTTCGCGTGGCAGAAGGCCCAAGTCACGCTTATCCACCTGATGTAGCGCTTCACGTTCTCCATGTACAATCCGGCGTACGACCTGCAGCTGCGCCAGACGCTGACAATCAAGCCGCACGAGTTCTATTTTCGCGTGATTTCGCGCACGGAACGGGCGTGCCCGCGTGAGGCGTTGGTGTAGCATCTCGGCGGATACCGGTGCAGCGGGGGGTGGGAGCTCAGTGGACACCTTCTGTAGACAAAGCAGTTTCAGACATCTCTAATGTGCTGGCAGCTCTTATTGACTGGAGTACTACTTATCTCCAGGTTCCTTTTGGTTCTACTTTTGACAATTTCAGATGCTGCTTTTTTGCATTCACGTTTCTGGTGCCATCAAAGTCATATGCTTCAGTGCAACATACCTCTGGCTATCTTCCCATATATTTGCTGATTTTATGTGGACCATTCCAGCGTGCAAACCATTCATAAACCCTTGGGCCCATGCGAGTACGGCTACTAGGCCCGGACGGCGTGCGCGGAATATATCGCCTATCATACTCGAGAATGCTAACCGATGCTGTGAGCAATATCTCAGAGCGCTACAGTAGACATCCTACAGCGGATCATGCTGATAGTACCCGCGAGATGAGCCCGAACGCATGGTGTGGATTTTGCGTGAAAATATCTGAGTGGATTCAGTGTTTGCCAAAAGCTGCCTTTTGGGACTGCCACTTCGTAGCGTTGTATTACTGCCCCGGAATGCATGTATTCACGTACTACCGTTCCTGACGGCATATCACTGAATTGGGGTCATTAAATATAATAAGCTTCTGGTATCTTGCTCGCACAAGCTACAAACGTCAATATCCGCCTAGAATCAGGGCATACCGCGGAATCTGGTACAGTCTTCAATGCCGGCTCACGCCTCGGCGCCGGCCTCATGACGTCCTTCCTCTCCCACTTCTGCCACATCGCTCTCTT